TGTGTGCTAAACAACCCGAGGCCACAACATCTTGGTCTTCACATCTTCAATAACATAATTTTGTCGTTAAAGCGGTTCCGTTAATAGCAAATAAAATGTGAAGGTCAAATGATAAACAGAATGTATACCAACGCTGCCCATTCTACATGCAGCACTGAGGATAGGAAATTTTTTGAAGGAGAATATAAAAAGAGAATCAAAGATGAACGAAGCAAGGACTTGACGTTATTAATTATCGCAGTGATGGAGAAAATATTGAATCATATTATTGTACTTTCTCGCTTAGCATGATTTATGGTGAATCAGCGCAGTGAAATAATTTAATTATCATTTTAACGTCATAGACACACCCACAAGTTATAAGCACCTTTCAAAGCGATTAATCATTCTCATAGTTAAATTTATTTATATCACAAACGAATTACACAAAGAAATTCTGGTTCTGTCCTTGAAAGTAAATGAAATGATTTGCAAAAATGTCAATAATCAATGAGGAAATCGTTCAAATGGTATGCAGCAAATAGGAAGACTTAAAGGGGGAAATCATCAGTGATGACAGGCTAGTTTTGTGGCAGGCTTAACATTATTCCTGCCAATAATCGCCCATGTATAGGTCAACAATAGACGTCCCTTTAGTTCTGGAGCTTATAAATTCCTTAATGCAAGCATTTTATCTTTTCAATTGTCTAGATATGCAATTTCGGTCTTTTCTGAGTTCATCAAGGTCACCATGAAATTTTCCATTGGAGACTACACAAAACCTCGATCAGACCATTAAACGCCAACTTAGGCACGTAGGAGAGATTAGATAAAGACAACTTAAAAAAATTCTTTCAGAAAATACTGTCTGTGCAAACATAACCATTAATAGGTAGGTTTTCTCAAAACTAAATAGGATGAATACAGCTTTCATATCATATATACTGGTAGTCTAAAAAATCTACTTATATACGCAAAATAAGTAATGTAGTCGACTGTCATAGTAAATTCAATTTTGCTTAGTCGAGGATTCTACCACAAAATGTGATATTGGAAAATGTCTGGCCTCCCTCGAAATTCATATATACCCTGTGACCCAGGCGAAGTCGAGACTGCAGTCCAATCTCATTCTGGGAAAATTCAACTAACGATTCTCCATCATCTTAACGTGGTTGCATATTGCTACTCTGTTGTTCTAAGTACAGTACTCAGATAGGGTGAAAAGCCTGTGCGGGCAATATACCTGTTCAAGGGTGCTGACTGCGGCTACTCTGGATTCAGGTTGTTTGTCAACGCAACCTAACGTAGGTGGTAGACTACATCCAAGACTAAATACAGGCAGGAGTTCGATAATGAACAAGTATTGAAAGAGGAAATTTAAAAGTACTCTGAAGAGAAAGTCAATAGCGCGTGAAACCGATCAGAGATAAACGGATGTAGTCAAACTGCAGGCCTTTGGGGATTAATCCGGTCATTATGACGTGAGCATGAGCACCACCATTGGTTTGTAGAGTCCGCCTAGACTGGAGGACTCGATTCTTTAATGGGATCAGGGGCCTAGTATGGTGTAGGCCACGATCGCCGTTAGTCTGTCGGTCTTGTTTTGTTCTTGCGGTGATGTGTATGTAAGCAAGACCTGCCGACCTATCCAGAAAAAATTATATGAACACAAAATCGCTTGCAAAGGTCTATGAATCCAAACATCTGAGCTCGTAGGACACTCGATGGACTTGTCCAGCACACAATATTTTGCTGGTTACGGGGACTTTACATCAAAGCATAAGATCAAGGAGTTTATAGAAATTAACAAAACAGCCAACATCCTGAATAGGAGGAATGAGTTAAGGAAATTGAGTCGAAACTGATACTGGCATATCTTTCGTTTCATTTAAAATAGAGGGTGGAAGGGATTTCCAAATTGGCCACACAGGATACCCAAGTAGAGTTGGACTTGCGACTGTTGAATTGTGCGAAGAAAACCTCGGCTCAACTTCCTGCGACGCCGATAATTCGTGCTGAGCTTTTGTTCGCCATGTGATGGAAATCATCAGAGCCAGAAGCAATTCTTTACAAACAATCACCAAACACAAAAACTAAGCACTTCACACATTCAAACAGTAACAGGGCCAAGGCAACCTTCCTTCGGTATCCGATGAGGACAGTCTACGAATCCCTTCCACCCACCTTTTCAAACGGAATGAAAGGTATGCCAGTATCAATCCATTATAGGATTCCACAAAACCCAAATTATCTTCATATATTTGAGTAGGAACTATTTATGATTGTTGGATAGCCCTAAGGAGAGGGCGAGATAAGGAGAACAGGAAGAGCCACTGAGCAAGAGAGGATGGATTAGCCTCGAGTATAGCTAGGACTATCACACCTCCCATGACATGAACATTACACACACTCAATAAGCAATAAAACATGAGTCAACATCAGAAGATCATATACTAGTTAATTTATAAAAAAACGACTGCCACCGCATTCACTTCTCGTTCTTTAATTAGCTTCACTTATCTGGAATCATGTAAAGTATGAGTTAGCCAGCAAAATCATCGAATGCTTCATAAAGATATCAAGTTTTGGTGTATAATAAAGTGACTATGATTATAGCCACCCACTTTTATTTTGGTTCAGCATATTTTTACGCTATTTCATAAAGTATGGATTTTTGCTCTGAAAATGCCTGTCACAGTACAGACAAAGGCTTAGCAAAGATTCATTGGTGTCGCCTGAAGGTGAGCCGAAGGTTTCTTCGTACAATACAACAGTCTTCATTCCATGGCAATCCCGCTCCGGTTTCCGGTGAGATAATTTCACAAATTCCTTCAAGCCGACTTTACCTTCGTAATGGAAAGTCATGTCACAATATATCACTAAGGAATTCTTTGAAATCTAGTTTTTCTTCGAATTTTCAAGCCTCCTTACCCCAGAGTCTTTTTAGAGATCCTTTTATTGGAGTATTCTAGCCACTTAATGGCAAATAATTAGATCCATCTAAAAGTAGGTATTAAGACCAAGATGCTGTATACAAGTGGTTTGACCTCGCTTTCGCAATTTCGCTGTGTTGTCAGGGCGATTTAGATGAACCCACCGCTATAGTAGTTATCATAATTCCAAGCGTCGGACCATAGACTTGATACATTCCCAAATGCCTCACCGGCATAGTGGTCGTGTACCCTAAGCAAACTGTGGATCCATGCCTCTGATCGCCATGGCATCCCGAGTGAATCTCTAGGTGAATTAGCTCTGATCTACTATTTTTCGTATTTGAGTAGAGTTTCGAGACTACCAGTAAATCAGTTATATGAAGTGTATTCACCCCAT